ATATATATATATATATATATATATATTCTTAAATTAGAATATAGCATACAAGATTTTGTATAATGGATTTCATGATGAAAGTTGGGGGATCCTAAAGCTATTGGAGCTGTCTTAAGGTGATTGTGTGATATCATATTTAATCGTTCTTGATTGGAGAGTTGAGTTAAGAGATTATAAAGTCTGATATAATTGCAGGATAAATGGCGTACATCGAACTTGTTAGTATTCACGTGTAATTAAGTTATCAGTAATAGATGACAAAATTTGTGGATAGTAGGATTAATCATGTTGGCCGCATGCACTAGTTTTATAAGTGATAGAGATACATTAATGTCATTCATGGCCTCATAAGTGATGTCATGCATCGATGGTGCCCATTGTTCTTTTATATATATATATATAATTGATGAGTAGGGTTTCGAGCCAAAACAAGCTGAACACAAAAGAACAAATCTTTGTCCGTGTTCGGCTCATTAACTTAGCGAAAGAGCCGAACACGAGCTTCTTAACGAGTCGAACATGAGCTATTCGCGAACAATAAGCTGTTTTGATAGCCCTATGTTTGGATAAACATATACTACATAAGATCAATCCATGTTCCCCTCTTCCTTAAAAAAGCAAGGAAAATATTAATAATAAATGTCAAAATAGACCAAATCCTACCACATTAGGGGGTATTTCGTAGCGTAATATTTACAGGATTTAACAATGAATTTTACTTAAATCCAATAAAAAATAAATACAACCCTCCTTTAAATCCAATTTTCGCTGGTTCGATCTGACTTCTCTCACGTTCCGTCATGCAAGATTTGAGACATAAATCCAGATTTCATAAATCCGATTGCGAGCAGGATTTATTCGCCGTCGGTCGCAATCCATACCCATCATTGATCGAGAATTTGATAAATTCTACTTAACATAAATTCATGGTGCAGCCAAACACCACCTCACAAATTACAGCATGTAGGCTCTGCTGAGGCCGGCTTTCTGGACCATTATTATTTTTTTCTCTGCTTCTCTGCTTCTTTCTTCTTGCTGTTCAGAATTATTTGCATGGAAGATTTACATGACACTCTTTTTGACTTATTTATATCTTTAACACCTAAATATTCAAATGAACTTATCATACATACATACATACATACATACATACATGCATACATACATACATACATACATACAT